AGGAGTAGGAGTAGGAGTAGGAGAGTGCTGTTTTTTTGTTTGTGTCGCTTCTGTGATTTGCTGCTGGAACCGTCTTGTTTCTTTTCCCCATCGTCTGCTGTGTCTTGTCTGGAGTACGACGTGTCTTGCCATGCCAGGTTAAAAAGACTCCGACTGACAAGTCCAAAGCAGAGTCCGATGCCCCTGGTGGTATCTCGCTGCTCCTGGGCCTCTACCGCTTCAATGAGCGGATTACCCTCCGTGCGAAGACGCTCGGCTTGTTTCAGTAGTCGACATCGCAGTGCTCAGATGCAGGGTCATCGAGCTGTGGTTGCATCTATGCCAGTGCCTTCGAAGCTGTTAAGACGCCTCTTGGAGGTCGCTTGCATCAATGCTGACAGGGACGGGAACCAGTGCAAAGACGTGGCCCGGTTGCACACCGGAGTCTTGCAATCAGTCCTCCTCTTCGCCTTCCGATCTCGCCCTGGCTCCCGTTTCTCCCTTTCTGCCCTCGCTAGCAATTTGTGCTGCGCTTGATCTAGAAACGATCAACCATCTGCCGCTGCAGTTGGTCGCCCGGTCTGCTGGAGCGCTCACTTTATGATGGCATGAAGCGTGACGATGACTCGAGCGACATCCTGAATTTAAAGGACAGCTTTGCGAAATTGTCGAGGTCGTGGCTAGAGCCGCAGTCCGAACTGTGCCCGGAGGAACTCTTCAGTGGATCCGACGGGATGCTCATCGCAGATCCAACCATTCTGCAATTTCATCTCTCCCCCTGGGCAAGGACGGTTGTACTTCTGCTTCTCCTCGGAGCCACAGAGACATGGGCCCCGGCCCACACTTCCCTGCGAGCTGACTGCGAAAGCAACAACAACCAACAACGCAGTCATACGCACAGGCGCTACATGCCATCACCATATCACCGACCGTCGCAAGAATAAAGATAGAATGTGGACAGGAAGGGTCAGCTGATGGTGTTGGTAGTCATGGTAAGTATGAAACTACGGCAACTGAACAGGGAGAGAAGGGGGTGGGGTTCAGTTAGGGGCTTCGGGCGGGCTCCTGGCTCCAGCTGACTGGCCAGGATCGTGGAGCTGATGAGGTTGATCTCCGTGGTGGGTACCATGGACGATCACCTATAGAGCTTCGATTAGACGGGATCAGTTGGCATAGTTTAGCACCGCATCTGTTTTTGCCTTCTGCGCGGCCTTGAGACGTGGGCCAGGACACGAAGTGTGTCGACATCTCACTCTTCTTCGCATGATCGTTCGCTCGCTGAGGCACATGCATCACGGCGCCCCTCAGTTTTATTCTTGCCGGAGACTGGGCGTCGTCGCACTCGGTCCCGGGCGGCCACGCTCTCTTGGCTTTAGATTGTATCTTGGCCTCGATGGAGCCTGCTTGCTGACATAAATTTCCACTAGAAACCAGCGGTCTCACACGGCGGACCACCTTGACATCCCCGAGGCGCGTTCGACGTAATCTTCGCCTTCTGCCTGGTGATCAGATTCCGCATTTCTGTTCTCCATCCGCTTACCAAGAAGGCAGCTTGTCAGAAGAGATGAGCACTTGGCAAGCCATATTATCCGATGCGTCATGCTCGATGTCCGTCACATGAATACGAGGAAGTTACAGATCCTGTGCGGATTCGACGTTACTTCACTGGCAGCATGATCTGGTGGCTAGAAGCCATCAGTGTATTTTCTCACGTGTGGCTAGGACTGCCTTCGTCTTGCATTATCTTTCCTGGGGGTTTTGGGCATCCGGTAGAGCCGACGGTGTTGTTTGAGCCCTGCAAAGCAGTCCCTCAAAAATCTGGTCCAACAGCTTGCAGCCAGGACTCGGGGCGACTTTGTTGCTGAACAACTTGAAGATCATTCGCGTAGGCCCGGTGAGAACGGTGACGGTGAGGCGTTTGGGGAGGCCTGTCGCAGCCATGGACAGGTCCTTTGCTCAAGGCACCCGACGCGCTTTGGAGGCCGGCATTTCAACCTGTCAGCGTCTGCAGCTGTGGGGCTTTTGTTGCCGGTTCAGACAGGTTCGGGTCGTGAAGCGTTAGTCTATCACGACTCCCACTCGTCGGCAAAACGAGGGGATTATTGTCCGTCCATGTCCTGCATTTTAAATGACATATCCCACGGATTCTAAAGTAACCGCCGTTTGCGTCGGGTCCTTTGCCTGGGACGCTTTTGAGATTTCGAGGTGGGAAGACAGCAAGCTGGTGCGGCTTGGACGGCCGCCTTTCCTTCTGGTCCTTGCAGCACACTGGACCGCTTGCCTTCTGTTCACTCTTGGTGGCTTCCGCCTTTTGGATGCAGCCCCAGCAAGAGCCCCTCAAAATTTGCAAGCTTGCTGTATACACTGCAGAGGAAAGGGGAAGATGTTCCGAACCTGCGTGCAAGCTAAGCCGATGGAGTTCAGGCCATGCAGCGTGTTGCTAATGGTGTCTCACTTCGAAGCTCAGGAGAGGAGCTCAAGCTCCACGAAGAGGAGTATGCGACGAATTTTAATTTGGGCTACGGCATTTCAGGCACCCGGCGCCTCGCTGCGAGTTTTGTGTAGCTCGATCAGCGACCCTGTCCTTTGGCGAAGGTGAAGTGTCTGGTGGTGTGTCGCTGTACTTCATGGCCTTCGTAGAAGCCCTGCGCTTCGGCTTGATGGGTTGCCTTAGCCGGATGCCTTGTTCCTGAAGGCATCTGAAGGCTACTGGTATGTCGCATTGTGGTCAGGTACATGCTCACGGGTGCCATGGACAACCCTCTCGGCGACGGCGGCCCTCGGAACAAGGATTGAACCATTTGCCTCGAGTTGCCTGCACCTGTGCGCCTGTCATGTCATGTCATGTCATGTCATGTCTTGCTTGCTGGCAAGAGCCGCGCGAATGCTTTGCTGAAGTTGCGTCACCTGCTCACCAGGATTTCGGAGCCTTGCTCATGGTCGCAATCTTTGGACCCGCCGGGTGTGGGCTTGGCTGCAATGGGTCACACCATGGGCTGGGGCCAGCACCATGCGGTATCAGATCACAGATCGGAACAGATGTTAGGTCCAGCGTGCACCCGCCGCATGTCAAGCCATGACACTGCATGTCAGTTCAACAGGCAGGATATGCAGCAGATATTGTAAATTGTAATGCATACCAGAATATCCCTTGAAGCAGATCTTCTCTGTTAGGCCACATGTTAGTTATCCTGTCGAGTACTGTGGCCGATCTTCTGTCAAGGTTCGAGTGAAGGTTCTGAGTTTGCTTGATGTGTTGGTCGCTGTGCTTTGTTGGCAATCCGGCAGCTGTGCTTGGTCGGTTCTTCGACGGTGCGTCCCGGAAAGAGCACATTTACCAACCTGCGATACCCTCGCAAGCGCTCCGCGAGGGGTTTTTACAGGGCTCGTGATGCATTTGCCGCCGTGTGTGACAGGTCTGGAAGGGCCGTTCGACATGTTGGTTATTGCCGCCCCACGCTGTGAGATGCGACGACAGAAACATTGCAAGAAAGCATTGACGCTGTCTCAAGGTAATAGCATTGATTCCTTCTGTGTGTTGGTATGGTGGGCCAAGACCATTTCACGTCTGGAGGGTGGGCATCACGCTATTGGTACTTTTTGGGACCCCATCAGCTGTTGAGGTGTAGTGGTGGCTCTCTTCATCTCCGCCATCATGCGGGAGCAGCAGCGAGCGCTGGCTCTGGACAGCAAGCACGAGGAGAGCAAGGTGCCGGTCCGGGTGCGAGAACTACGCACCTTCTTCAGAGGATTATTTCGCACCCTTCCTGTGCCAGTGTGGATCTTAGCCGACATCCCTTTCTATGCTTCTTGGAGAGCTTGTCGTGAACAAGTGCTTGCGTCTCAAGCGGCAAGCTGCGCCCATGTTCGAGACGCTTGCTTTTCGCGCTTGCAACTTCCTGGAGCGCAGGCCTTCATGGAGCGTGCATTGCAGATCTTGGAGATCCCAGACCAGTTGCAGCAGAGAGTGTCCCTCGGCTTTGTCTGCGGCAAAGCCGCATGGAAGGATGACTGATTCGCAGATCACTGCAAGGTTGAGCATGCACCTTTTCCAGAAGTTCGAACATGATGTGGAGGCAGGCTGAATTGCCGTTGCAAGGCCACGCCTTACTGGGCCCCCAGATCCCGAACCCCCCCCCAGATCTTGAAGCCTACACCCCAAACACCAAAGCCCATTTTCTGGTAATCCTCCTGCCTAAGAAGTAAAACCTAAACCTTAAACCCTCAAGCCCCAACTCCAAGCTGAAGCTTCTTGGTGCTCATGCTGGGTCTCGTCGCTTTGCGAACTTGGCAATTGATGTTCGTACCAGAGCCTGAGCTGGAGCTTTTGCTTTCGCGCAGGCGTTCAACTCCTTGTTCGAGAAGAAGAACCTCAGCAAGCCGCTGGAAAACACTCTTCTGGTCTACCTCTACAGGAATGGCGTGGCGCAGTCGCCCTATTTCAGGATGGGAGCTTTGGCCTTTCTATGCCTTATGCCAAGGCTGTGGTAGGCGTGTCTTGGAAGCCGGACTGCATGCAGGGGAAAGGATCTTAACTACATCATCGCCGTTCTTCAAGTTCTGGAGGAGAGGGTCGTTCCAAGGTTGCAGCGGTGAGTAGTGTAGCCTTTGCGAGCCAGACTGGCGGTTCTCAGCAGGGCTGGAACCTGACTCAAGGCTATACCCAGTACTAAGTTCTGTCTGTCTGAGCTGTGGATACCCGAGTGGCTTTACAGGACGAGGTGTACCTGCCTGGCGACTATGTTGCGCGCAGGGGCGAGGTGGCTAAAGCGCCGCCCGTCTATGAGCAAGATCCCAATGTTCGACTTGCTGAATGCTCGTGGGCATATCTGTGTACGAGTCTTACTTACACCGTGTGCCACATTGTCGGCATGCTATCCAGGATGTACTTTGTCAGCCGTGGCGTTCTTTCCATCCACGTCCCAGACGGAGAGGCCGATTTCATCCGTGCAGGGAGGGCGCAGACTGAAGAAATCCTCTTGGCTCCACGAGTCGGATCTCTCAGGATGAGAGCAACGTGGACAAAGCGAAGGAGATCAAGAAGCTGAGTACCGGGGAGCAGTTCGGTCGACTCCTCAGCCAACAGCAGCTGCACGTGCAGCGGCAAGTTCTGTGGTGACATGGATAACCTGCTAGTTTGCATGGGGCCAGGGTATGTCTAATGAAATTCCCAAGGAGAGATCGCTCTGGTGAAAGACACTGTCCGGACGGCGTGGGTCCGCTGGTGTCCCAGGGGGCTGAGGAAGAGGCTGCGTAGCCTACCGATGCAGGGCAAAGACATTGATTTGGGCCATTCAAGCTGCAAGCTGGGGCCTGGTCCCGACAAGCTTGCGAGTTCGGAGTGCTTTATAAACGCGGGCGGCGCCTTCTTTTGAGCATCCTAGTCGTAGGCTCATTTTCAGCTGCCCCTAAATCGAGACTCCGAGGTGCAGACACCTACGCCATCGTCTCTGCCTTGGCGTCGGAGCGCATCAGGCCAGCTCTCAACTCGGAGCTCTCGGATCCTCTTGGAAGTGATTTGAAGTTCGTAGCGGTCGACTTCAATCCATGAACCTGCAGGCATGTCTGGGACTTCTACCCCAAGGAGAAAGCCGAGCTCGTGCAAACAGTGGAGGCGCATGCAGAGCCTTGGATGGGTAAAGTGGACTGCAGTGTTTGCAGCAGGCTGCCCGACAGCCCCGTTGAAGGTAGTTAGCTTTAGACTTCCTCGACTTCCAAAGCGTTCACGTGTGAGAACCAAGGCTGTGACAGGGCCACATCTTGAGCCCAGCCTGTTCATGTTGAACGGCACACAAAGCCCTCCTCAACTCAAATCGACGTGGTCCATGCAAAATCAGATGCTTGTGCAGAGAAGAAAAACTGGGCCAACCCACGGCTAAAGCCTCAGGACAAGAGCTTCGGCACATCGCTCAGTTCATGAAAGCACCTGCTGAACCCAGCATCCAAGACAACGCCAGACGGCTGCAGATCCAAGCCTCTCCATGTCACCGGCCGGAAGCCAGGAGAAATGCTTTCACACACAGCCCAGCGTGAGGAACCATGCCATTCAGCTCTGTCGACATTTTGCCTGGACACGGGCTGCAGTACACGGACAATCATCGAGCTGCCTTCTGCTACAGGCTGTCAGACCACAGCAACACACTATGAGACTTCCCCTGTGTCGCCGTCTCAACTCTACCTGACTCACCTGCCCTCTGTGCCCAGAAACGGGACCGCGAACGGAAAGTCAAGCAGCGCTGGGAACGTGGTCTTGCTGGAGCGACGGTGACCCCGTGGAAGATCAAAGGCATGTGTTTTGGCTTTTCAGACACATCGCATGCATCCTACATCAGGGTTCCTGGCAGCATGGAGAGTTTGTTGTCTCGAGAGTGCTTCAAAAGCATGATGGCTTCTGGCATGACAGTGCCATCAGCGTTCTTCGGGCTTGCGGTGATCTCCTTGTTTGCGAAATGACCAAAGCATGGTTTGCAGGAGCTCACCCATGGACAGGCAGTTATCAAAGAGTTCTGCGAAGAGTCAGATGGTCTTTAGTCATGGAGGGGTGATGCTTTCTTTGTCTTCAGAGTCTCGGATCAAGTTGTGAGCCTGTTAGACGCCTTTTCTGTTCCGTGCTGTGAGCTGAGGCCTGAGACGCCAGAAGCCAAGCAAAAGAGAAAGGACCCACAGCCCACACGGTGTTTTGTAGGTTCTTTGGCAGGTTCTTACGGGTCTTGAAGGCGTGTGCAATGCTACAATGGGTCGCCGCTGCTTGAACCTATTGCAGGAGAGCATGAAAAGTGCGAAGTCCGTCACCTTCCAGGTCACGGAAGTGAAGGAGCAAAGCGAAGCTTCTCAGCAACAGTGCTAGTGGTTTCCGGCAATGTTTCCTGCCTTGCCTGCTGGTGGCAGTCTTGGGAAGGTGACCTGGCTCTGCTCACAGAATCAACGCTGTGTGGCTAGGTCTTTACCTGCACTCTTTGAGATTCCAGTCTTATCGAGATCTGTTGCAACATATTTGCATCAATTGATTCCTGTACCTCGTCCTTATGTTTGCTGGCTTTCCATTCCAAAATCCCATGCGTGGCTTCCTCCTTCTGTTCGTAAGCAACTTTATCAACTTGATCACCCCTGCTGGCTATAACAAATGCAGTGTCACTGTCATTGCACTGGTTCTGGATCTTGAATGCCGTGCCTCTGCGGCCAAGGATGGCCCCGACACGCCGAAAAGCACGGTGTCTAGCGAACCCGCTGCTACCGTGGACGTCAGTGAGTTCGTCGGGCGAAGGCTCCAGGCAAGGCCTGGAACTTCTATGAATGCTTGCAGTAGCAGTAGCAGTAGTAGCAGTAGTAGTAAGTAGTAAGCAGTAATAGTCGTCGTCGTTGTGGTGGTGGTGGTGGTGGAGGCGGAGGTGGAGGTGGAGGTGGTGGTGCTGGGGTGGTAACAAAATTTGTGCTGCTACCACTGAGGCGACCACCACGACCATCAAGACCACCACGACCACAACTACCGTCACCACCACCAGCAGCAGCACGACCACCACCAGGTTCACCGCAGCTGCTGGTACTGCGAGAAGCATGGAAACAACAACAGTCACAGTGGCAATACTTGCATGGGACGACATCGGCTACCCACGACGACGAACAGTGGGGCCCTATTTGCACTGGCAGCACAGGGCTTAAAGTCATCGCGCTTGGACAAGAGTAGGCACGCCATATGCTCAGGCAAAAGGCTGGAGCCCTTTCGGTAGCGGTAGTCATAGCGACAGTCGCGATCGTCATGACCACGACAGCACGCACAAAGCACTGGACATGGACGTCCGCCACAGACATGCACAGACCCCTGCTGATATGCCTATGTTCTGGCATTATCTATGACAACGGCAAGTGCTGTAGCTGAACGATCAATAGCAGTTACAGCCGAGCAGCCAGTCGGCAGACATGTCAGCTCACTCGGACGTGCATGATAGTCATTGAATCGAAATCAATGTTCTTACGGCTTGCAATATTTCGGCAGATGCAGGCAGTGGAAGGCCGCATGGACGAGCTCCTCCGCAGGCAGAGCTCTCTCGAACGCGTGCTGACCGCGGAGCTGGCAGAGCTGCACAAGACGCTGCGGTCCAGCACAGGTGCGGGAACAGCTTCAGTCAGAATTTCTTGGGGACATGGCATGAAGGAGTGCTGTTCGGCTCTCTTGCCAGTTTCTCTGCTCTCATCTCGTTCTGCTTGCCGGGTGTGATGGCCGATGTCTGCTCTGCAAAGTGCTCACGATGCCAGGATCTCCGCCGTCCCACGAGGAGAAGGCTACCAACCTTGAAGTGGTCCATGGGTCTTTAGCAAGTCTGTGTCCGAACGTTGCATTGCCGTCTCGTACTCAGTCACACTGCTTTGGTTGAGTTCCGCAGACACCTGCGACTTGCTGCTAGGAGCGCGACAGTGGGAAGCTTCCCCTGGAGGAGATTGTTCCGTCTCAGAGGATGGGTGGCATAAGATCCATACCACTCTTCGTTGCAGGAGAAGTGGACCCAGGGGCACAAGGAGCCTCGCAAGAGGAGCAAGCCAAAGACGCGCCGAGTCTATGCGGACAGGCCCTGTGTTGACCTGATCTCCGCAGAAGAGGCTGCCGCTCGCCTTGGTGGGGTGATTTTCAGGGCTTGGCGTTCGCCCGTTGAAGAAAAGATGCTACCGATAGGCTTGCAGTGTAAAAGCGATCGCCATCTCTTTGAAACTGTCAGGTCGTCGCGCAGGAGCGTGCCAGTCAAGCCGGCCATGAATACGACCAGAACAATTCTGGTGGCCGACGTGACTTGGCCAGAGGCATCAGTCAAACATGCATGTCGTGGATGAGCATGTAAACATGACTTGTAAGCTTGCAGCGTGCATCATGTGCTAGACCGGACATCTCCTGTTGCCTCTTTGTCTTGCCGATGCACGGAGGATTGAGCCAAGTGCGGGTGAAGGCCCGGTGAACTTTCATATATTATAACATAATAACATAGTATTAATAGAATGTACTCTCATGCACAATCATAAACCAGGTCTCGAGAGGTCTCTTGAGCGCTGGGTTGATGACAGTCGGGATCTGTGTAAGTCGAGAATGTATCTCCGTGCTTCGCAAGCCCACGGTTTAGGGTTTAGTTTAGGGTTTGGGGCCTAAGGCCTTGGCTACGACCCGTTGTAGCTGAGAGGGTGAAGTTCAACGGGAAGGGCTATTTGTCTACATGCCCGGATGCGTTGCCCGCCCTGAAACGCTGAATCCCAAATCCAACCAAGATCAGATCCTACATCCGAACATATCCGAACCCAAGGCCATTCATCGTGAGAGCCCTCCAAACCCTCCACCACTCAGAAACTAACAGCTCGAAATGCGAGAACCCCTCAAACCCGGTTCCTCAACAGACCGCTCAAACCCGAACGCATTCCAGATGAAGTCAAAGCGGCACCTCAAGCCCCAATCACACCGAAGCCACCCGAAAGGACACCTCAAATGCGAAATCGCCAACAGAACTCCTAAACCCAAACCCTAAACCCTAAACCCTCAACCCTAAGCCCCAAGCAGCCCCATAAAGATCGAAAGAAAGCCCCCCGGAGGCCGAAAGCTCCCAGGACGCCCTGGCACCTGTGCCTGCCGGGTCCCAGGCGACCGGGCCGCAAGATACCGAAGGGAGACTTCGGGGGTGTTTTGGGGGTGTTTTGGGGTTGTGGTTCAGGGTTCAGAGTTTCGAGTTCAGGGTTGAGGGTTTAGGGGTTGGAGAGGGCAGGAGGGTGTCGTCGTCATCATAACTAATACCATTATCATCCTTACGGGTGTGTGTGTGTGTGTGCTTTTTTTGTATGCGGGGAGGGGGGGGGTTCTTGCGGCCTGGAAGAAACGATGTTGCGGTGTTGCCCGCAACCCTGCTGCCGCGTGTTTCACCACCATTCGTCTTTTGGGATTCCGATGATTGTCGTGTCTGTCTCACTGGGTTTTGCTGTGCCAGTAGCAAGACTGCTACGATTATGATCGCGATTTTGTCATGATTAGTATGGTCATCGGTATCGCTGCTGTGTTGTTGTTTTGGAGTTGGTCGGTTTGGGATTTCAGGGCTTTGGCATCGGGCTCTGTAGCTGAGAACTATAGAGTAGTTCACAAGATCAGTGCCACAGCTGACATCAGGCATGAGCTCCTACACCCTAAACTGTAAACACACTTATTTGCAATATGTATCTGTTGGGAGCCGATGTCGAGCAGGCAACCAAACGAGCGTCACGCCAATGAATAAAACTCATGTTGCTGCAACTGCCCATGAGCTGGCAGTGCTGATGCAGCTGCCGACGATATACAGAACCTTGGACAAGCGCAACGACAAAATGGGCTAACGCAGAAATGACCATGTTGATCACAGAAGGTTGATAAACTCATACTAGCGTGTTAATCAGCATAGTAAGAAGGCGAGAAGACTACGAGTTGGAGTGGCAAGAGCAGGAAAAGCAAACTCACGGGGGAGCAACAACAAGAGGACAGCTTTTTCTCCAAAGTAGTCACAACAACTCCCCTTGGCAGTGACAGCTACTAGTGTTCAGCTTCTTCCCACTGTGGTAGTGGCTTGTGCTTCAAGATTCATGGCACAGGCTTCGGAGCTTTTCGATAAAAAACTCGAGCACTAGGTATTCTGGGTTTCTGCGGGGACGTGAGGATTGGACAGCTGCTGCGCTCGAGGCCGCTGGTGATTTCCCTGAAAGTCCTTTGCCCCACGAGCCCTTCAGGGGCCCAAGGCCGAATCTCGAACCCAAAACACTGAGTCCTGCAGCCTTGCCCTGAACCGGCTTATGTAGTTTGCTCTTCGATCGAGCAGACCTAAACCTCACACCCCAAACTCGAAACGCAGTCCTGAGCCTGCCTGCACTGCACCGAGGACTCTTCCGCCTCAGCTTCCGTGGCCAGGACTACCGAGGCCAAGCAGGCGCCGCAAGTATTTCAGGGCCACGATATGCTGCGACCTTATCTAGCATACTGTAGCGGGGAGACTGCATATAGGAGGTGTTCTGCAATCAGATCCGATAGTGTTCTTACTCTAAGTCTGTTATGGCCGATGACCCCCCGCAGCTGAATTCAGTACAGGGCTCGGCTGACCGTTCTGTGCTTCGAAAGGTGAAAAGTCGGCTGGATAGCATCAGTTCTCTTGGGTTTCGTTGTAGGGGCTTTAGCTAGTGAAGTGGTTCTGATCTTGCCATTTGTGGCACAGTGCTCCAGCAAGTGCTAAGTGGAATCCAGAGCCTGCGCTCAGCCAGGAAGCCGCGCCTGCCTCGCTTCCACAGGCGCCCGAGCATCTGGCAGACCTGGAGTCCGTGAGCCTTTGCACGGTGAGAGACGTTTGACGGGTGCACGTTCCTTGATGGACCGGTGGGGACCCCTGTTTTCAGCCGAGGACGTTGCATGTGGAGCCCGGATCCAGGTCGAAGCTTCCGACCTGAGGAACTGAGTGCTTTGCGAATTGGGTTTTTTCTCCCCAACCCCGATGCCAGTGTCTTATCGTTAACGCGAAAAGCCTCCAGGAAATAGGAAACCACACTTGGATGCAGTCTGCCAGAGCTTTCCTGGAAGCTGGGCTGTGGTCCACGGTGAGGGCTGACGAAGTCAGGGTCCTGCTGTGCCCAACGGTCGGAAGACCCGGGAGCTCAGGCTGCCAATATGCGGCGCCCATGACCCATGTTAATTATGCGGTTGGATGCGGTGAGTATGGTGTGGTACTTCGTTCGGGCAGCCGCTTCTGCTCCCTTGCTCATCGGAAGCAGCAGCTGTGTCCCAAGGCATGGCTGCTGCAGCCGATGTGTGCCTGCAAACGAACCTTTATGTCGTTCAGCGACAGATCACCAGGGCAGCCGTCTGGGGCTGCCCCGGCTTCGAATTTTCGAGTGCAAGTGACCGGCCGCGGCTCGGCCCTCGGAGAGGGAGGCGGAGATCGGAAAATCGGGGAGCTGCCTGCAAAAGGGTTCAAGTCTTCCCCAGCTGGCAGCTCGCGCAGCGACGTGTTTTAGTGGTGCGCTGAGATGAGACCCTGGTGACCTCTCAGGCCGGCTCTGGGGGAGCACCTGCAGTTCAGCCAGAGGCCGGCGGCTTTCTGCGCGAAGTGCTTCCGTGCGGTTCCAAAAACTTCCCGTGCAGGCCCCGAGCCCAAGCCCTTCGGAGAAGATCACGGAGGACAAAAAAGGGCCCATCTGTGCAAGAGCCCAGTCGACGGCTGCCAGGAGGCCCGGCCGGGACCGACTCACGGCACCACTGCGACACATGGCAGAGCCCGGCTCCCGGAGTTTCCCACGCGGATCACCGCAGGAATGGTGGAAAAGGGTCGCGGTGCTCAGTATCACGACCACGCCGGCTACTTCTGCCACTGCTGCTCCGACTACTGCTACAACAGCAACAACAACAACGGCAAGAGCAACAACAGCAGCAGCAGCAACAACTACTACTACTCCTCCTGCTGCTGCTGCTGCTGCTCCTACTGCTGCTGCTGCTACTACTACTACTACTACGACGACGACGACGACAACTACCACTGCCACCACCTCTGCCACTTCTACTGCTGCGACTGTTGCCATTGTCAATCCTATTTGTACTAATGCTGTTACGACTTTGCATGTTGTCAGTCCCTAGTCCCAAAACACGAAGAAGCGACTCGGGCATCGACCCCCCAGGCGCTCAAAGCCATCTTGCAGAATGCGGTGGTTCACTCCCCAGATGCGGCACTTGGGTATGCCTGCAGTGCCCGAAAGTGTCTTCAGCTACTGCTTTACTTGACCATGTGCCTCCTTACTGGCCAGTTGGGGAAGCTGCCTAGTGACTGGGTGGCTGAGACACGATTTCCGACGGAGAACATCATCACCAACATGTATTTCTACTTCCTGGTGACAATGTTCCTTGTTGCCGCCGTCTTAGTGCATGTGACATTCGTTCTCAGATTCCCTGCCCTGGTGAACCGCGGTGCGGCGCGTTTCGAAAAATGAGCGCGCACAAGGTTGTCTTCTATGTGATGGTCTTCCAGATGCTGGAGGAGGACGCCCAGCATCCACTTGTCATTTGTCATGGGTTAAGCCTCGACACATGTCAGTGTCAGCATCTTCTTCTCGCAGGAGCATGAGAAGGATAGCTAAGGCCGCACTGTGCAGAAGACATGATTACACAGCGAAGCAGGAAGGCTGGTGAAAAATGGTTTTCGGAATCGAGCCGTTCATTCTGCAATTTGCCAGAATGCTTTTGGTGGTTCTGCCTTCATTCCCCTTGTGTCAGTTTTCTGCTTGGGATCGCAACCAGTTTGGCAGTGGGTCACTGAGGAGTGTACGCTCCGCAGGAGAATCCTCAGAAGTGTTTGTGCAAGGATAGATGCATGAACTCCTTCCGGTACCAGAGGATGTTCATGCCTCCAACCCTACCACATTAGATTTGTGGCCGAGCGGCCAAGACAATCGCCACTCTGTGGGAAACGGGCTCGTCCGGAGCTTGACCAGATACAGATCAGTCAGATTTGTCAAGCAGCCTAGTCAAGTCTCGCACAGCTCAGTCAAGTTCTGCATGCCTGAGCTTTTGAAGCATGTCGATGTCGAGGGCATGCCAGAAGACATGCATCATCTTCCCCGCAGACAAGCGGGTCGTTTCACAATGATACTCCGTTGTCTGCAGGGTCTCAATGTCTCAAGGAGTCCTGACAAGAGCCCGACGCCGATCTCTGCGTGCAAAGACGTGGTGAACAGAAAGCTTTTTTTGCAAAGAGCCGTGCTGTGACCGGGTCATCCGGCTCGAGTGCCTGGACTGCCTGGAGTGCTTCAATGACTAAGTGGTGTCCTTCAATGTTCAGTGTTTTTTGTTGGATGTGCTATTGGGATCCCTGGGGCCCTAGGGCATCATCTCCCGACGCTTTGTACATATGATGTCCAGGGCCTTGCTCACCTGCGCAGGGGCAAGGTACCCGTGCCTGGCGCACGTCCGCAGCCAATAAAAGGGGCGCCGCTGTGGCCACCGAATGCTGCCCTCAGCTTTGCCGGCACTCCAAGAAGCTTCTTCTGTGTGGCGCTTCGGCAGTTGTTGGCATGGCGTCTGCCACTTTTCTAGGGCAATGCAAGTCCTAGTATCAGGTGCGGCCAGGATGGAACCTCTTGATGCTTTGTCGGCTGTCGGGCTCAGCCTGCACTGCGTAGGGTCCACAACGCTTGAGACACCAAGGATTGAGCAGAAGAGTATCTTCCAATCACACGTTGCAGTAGCCTCTTGCTACGTGAAGCAAGTAAACCCGAAGCCCTAAACGCCCTAAGCCCTAGAACCTAAGCCCTAACCAGCGATACTTCCGTTTGCATCCAGCAGCGTCTGCTCCGGTTGCTCGAGGTCTGAGTTTGAAAAGCACAGCTTTCCGAATGGGTGCTTGTTGGGATACATGATAGTAAACGGGATAATTAATTAATTAACTAATTGATTAATTAATTAACTAATTAATTAACTAATTAATCAATTAATTTAGTCTCAGATCAAAGCCCCAGCAATACGTATGAATGACTGTGGGCCATGACTGACTGCTATTCCTAACAACAGTATCGCTAAGACTGACCCTGCCATTAGACCTTACATCGGCCCCACTGGTGATAGCAGTCTTCTGTTTCATGTTCACCGTCCAAAAGAGATTCCTTATAGATTCATGTCTTAGGTCGTATGGATTAAAATGCTATGTCGACTG